ATATATATATATATATATATATATATATATATATATATATATATATATATATATATATATATCATTTTAAATAATTAGTTCTGATGTACCATTTTAATCACTTCAAGTCTTAAAAATAAAGATATTTAATTTTAATTTTATAAAATACATAGGTGGATATATACGTTAAACAAATCATATATAATATATATTTTCTTAAACGTCATTTGTAATTCTTGTCGTAGTAGGATGGAAAAAACACTATCATATGAAAAGCATATCACGATAAGTTAATCATGATTACATATCTAATGTTAATATTGATGTTATCTTATTAAATATTGTATTGTAAATATGTCGTTAAAGATAGAAAATTGGATATTTGAATACATATATAAAAATATTACATAAATATACATTTAACTCTACAGAGAAAAAAAAAACTCATATTCGTCTTCTCTATTGAAACAGAAAAACTCATTTATTTTTTTACTCTTCTTTCTTCCTTCAACATCATTCAACCATAGAAACTTGATGACATTGCTTTACCGCAATCAAAATGTTTTTCTTGACAAAGAAAAATCATAAAGATATTCTAAGTAAAACATTGATGTTTGGAGAATCACATTCAAGACTGAGTAATACACACAAATCACATACAAAGATCATATTCAAGTAGCATAAGTTGAAGGGTTGGAGAGTTTTAAATGAATATAGTTCAATATAGATAGTTTATCTTGAATCATATTCATTTGAATGACCTCATTTATAATAGATAGATAGAAAGAGACAATAAATTATCATTCCCAAACATTACTATCAAGTGTTAGATAAAAGTCATAAGAAAAAACACCGTACAAACCTCCAAACATGAGAGCAAAATCTGCATGTCAAAAAAAGAGACAAATGACTTTAGAATCAATATATTTGGGAGAGACATGGCATATTTCATTCTTCATGAGTATAACTACAATTTTGGAGAAAAGGAAGGAGTTTATGAGTTTTGGCTCTTATTCTTGTTTCTATTAAGTCTCAAAGACTTCCATTAAGTCATACAAAATGGTGACTTAAAATTGGAAATGATTTGTTCAAGCTTTTATCAAATTTCAAGCATTATTATCAAAGAAAAAAATCATATTATAATTACCATTAATACGACATAACTCATTTCTTTAACTCTTCATATTTAAATAGTAAATGATTGAACTGTATAAAAGCTTTTTTAATCACAATACATTCAACTCCATAAAGGCTTTTGAAAGAAAATAGTGGATATAACTACATATATAATGAGATAATGCAAAAAGTTATTGAGAATTTAAAAATATTGTAAATGTTATTAATTAAAGAATATAAAAAGTCATTTAGGCTTCAAATAAATATGTTTTGAGAAAACAAATTATCCCCGCATGAGTTTAAATGATCTCTTAGGAGTTAGATAGATAGATTAAAATTGTTATCTTTGTTAATTTTTAGTGTATGCATGATTTCGAGTTTTGTGTATAACCATATTAATATTTATATCAAAGATCGAATAAAATATCTCCAATCCTTTTTCCCATTATTATTATTATTATTTTTATCTTAAACTAAAAGCTAAAACATACTTTAATAAAAATCTAAGACAACTAATTAAAAAGCCAATAAGACCAAAACCATTAAAAAGGAGAGTCAACCGCTAAATGATGAATCGAATTTACTAAAAAGAACTAAAAATCAACAGGCGTTACATTTATTCTGAATGATTTTCATAAACTAAATATACATGTATTGTGAAAAAGAAAGTAGTTAATTTTGTTTTTTTACAAAGGAAAAAAGAAAAGGAAGTCAACCAAATTCTGGCTTTTCTTCTGTTACTTATCCTTCCTGCTCTCTAAATCCTTTTTTCAATTTCATATAAATACCCCACAAGAACCACCCCTCAAATTTCATTTTTATAACTTTCAAGCATTAATTTTTGTACTAAAATCTCAATTGTCTTCAAGATCAAGAAATTTATTCGATCCAAAAAGATGGCAGACAGCTGGTGGGATTCAAGAACAAGGCCTTGTTTGGATTCAGTATCAGTTACCTCCATGAATCTTTTTCAAGAAACCAGAGAAAGCACGACAACAACAACCACAAGTGGCGGTGGCGGCGGAGAAGGTGGTGGTGGTGATGGGGTGTTGGGCAACAACCCAAGTTTACAAATGATGGAATTAGGTCTTTCATCACAACCAATATCACAGTCGTTGGATTGGAATCAAGCTTTATAGTAAGTCTACTAGAACATGGTTCTTGTTCTCTTTATAAACCCTAATTTTCTTTATTTTAATTACTAAGAAAAGTTTAATTCTTTTGATGCAAAACAGTCGTGGAGATCAAAGAAGTGATCATCATCAAAGTGGTTACCAAACCCTAGCTCAAGAAGATCATAGTTTGAGCTCAGCGACAAGTAATTTCCAAGAACCCCAATGGAAATCACATAAAATATATTCGGATTCTCCAACAGAGTTCAAGCAAATCAATGTTAGGGGTTTCCGATTAAATGAACCGATGCAATACGACGAAAACGGATTAAATCCAAGCTTCCAAACAATGGATGATCATTCCTATGGAAATTCTACGGTTATACAAAGCTTATTCGGTTCAGAAAATACCACGAGTCAACAAGATTCGGGTTATGATCAAAATCAAGGATTGAGTTATATGTATCAATCTAATTATGGTGGTGTCCCCATGCAGTCTGGTGGCTGCAGTGGTGACGGCGGTGGAGGAGAGTATCCTCCGCCACCTCATGAATTCTCAGTGAATTCACCATCAAAAGTGCAACCATCGAACATTGCTACACAACTACACTTCTCCAACAACGCTCGATTTTGGAATGCATCTGCAGCCTCAATGAATGATGTTAGATCGAGTTTTTTTCCTTTGCAAATGCAACCACCTTCATCAACCATTGAAGATAAAACAAAGGTATAGCTAGAATGATCAAGATTGACACCCATACACTATACCCACAAGTTATATAACACGAGAAACCTAATATTTTATGTTACTTTTGTGATTTTTTTTCTCAAGAATCCCACATCAGAAATGATGAGAAAAGCAAGCAGCAAATCATCATCAACCAAAAGACCAAGAAATGAAAACCCACCATTGCCAGCTTTTAAGGTACAGGTTAATCTTGTTTTTTACTCTTTTTTGGATCTTGAAAACACAATTAAAGTTGAAACTCTTTGTGTTTATTTGGATTGATCAGGTGAGAAAAGAGAAGATGGGGGACAGAATCACTGCACTTCAACAATTAGTTTCACCTTTCGGAAAAGTACGCATGATCAATACATTTACAATATATAACTTCAAAAAATTCCATCTTTGTCGATGATTAAGTCTTGAAATTAAAGTCTTGTTTTTTTGTCTTTTTATAATAATCACAATCTTTCTGGTGTTTCCAGACTGATACAGCATCAGTGTTGTCTGAAGCTATTGAATACATCAAGTTTCTCCATGAACAAGTTAACGTAAGTATTCCATTAATTCAATATACTTAGGGCAAAAGAAATGCATATAACTTATGAATCGTTAATTATTTCTTCAGGTTCTAAGTACTCCATACATGAAAAGTGGAGCTGCAATCACGCAACAACAAGAGGTATATATGCATAAAATTAGCATATCATAGATCTTGTGTTCGAAATTTCTTCTGTTATTAATTATCATAGAATTAATCAAATTTATGATCTTGGGGTTTAATTCAGATTATAGATAAGGAAGGATCACGACAAGATCTAAGAAGTCGAGGGCTTTGTTTGGTACCGATATCAAGCACATTCCCGGTGACACATGAAACGACAGTTGATTTTTGGACACCATCTTTTGGGGGAACTTTTCGATGAGTGTGAAAACACGAAAGAATTTGTTCATGGGGCCAGTAGTGATCATCAAACGAATTAATTCTAAGCAATAAATTAGGAATATCTTGTATAAATATGAAGAGAAATCAAAGTGGAAAAGTAAAGAAAAGGATATGAATCTTTAAAATGTTGGGCCAGCTACAAGCAAAATGATGCAGCTTCGGCCAATGTTCTTAGCTAAAGGTGTCACTCTTTGTACATAAAAAATGAGTCTTTTAATTTGTAATAATTGTAGCATTAATAATGATCAATTAACTAAAGTTTTGTTTAGGAATATGTGAGAACAAGTGCCAATTATACTTCCCATGTATAATAGTTAAACTTATATAGTGTTCATATATGTATTGAATTTTAATTTCATTAAGGATTATT